CCTCCAGCTGTAAGCCAAAACAAACCTGCCCTCTGCCACATGGCTTCTAGTCAGGTGATGGATCACAGCAACTGGGAAAGGAACTTACAGCTGGTCTCACAGGATCACACATCTTGGGCTAAAAATGCTGAAACTGGTTCTGGAGGGTTTTTTTTTTTTGCAGAAGGCATGATCTAATGTGCATGATGAAAATGTGAAAGATAGATTGAGTGGTAAAGGCTTCTGTGACTCAGAGGAGAGAGGAGACAGTGACTGTGACCAGTGGGGTGGCCATGGTGATGAAGAAAGCAGATGGATTTGAGAGGCATTGCATACCCCAGCAGGTCTTGGTGATAGACTGGATGTAGGAAGATTGGATTCAAATGGAGAAAAAAATTGTGGCCATGGGGCTGGAGAGATGGCTTAGTGGTTAAAAGCACTGGCTTCTCTTGCATAAGACCTGGGTTCAGTTCCCAGGACCCACATGGAGGCTCACAGCATCTGAAACTCCAGTTCCAGGGTTATCTGATTCCCTCTTCTGACCTCCATGGGCATTGCATGAGATGGGTGCACATATTTTAAAAAATATGGCCATGGACTGAGTTGGGCACAACTGGGCAGGGAGAGACCATGGGCATGGAGGTAGACTTAGTCTACAGCTTTGTTTGGACAATGAAGGAAAGGTTTGCACTCACGGAAGGTACCTGTGAGGAACCTGAACTAGGTGTTTATAAGATCTTTCAGTTTCACTTGCCTTTGACCCTTAAGTAGATTTGAATCATTTGCATTAGATTTTTGTCATTGTGACTATATATAGGCATATAAATATATATATCAAATTAGCTTACATTGAAATAGTAGTAATAACAGTCTCATGTCTGAGAGGCTGAGAACTTGTTAGGTGCTCAGTCCACAAGGCTGGGTGCCTCAGGAGTCCCAGTCTGGTGCCAAAAACCTGGAAGTTTCTTGGAGAGTCACTGGTCCTCAGCCCACAATGGAAACTTGGAAACACTGGTTCAATATCAGTGAAAGAATCATCGTTGGCAGCAACGGAATAAGTGAACTTTGTGGTAAGAAAGCCGGTCAGGAGAACAAAAGGCAAGCAGTCTCCCTCCCTCTAGTCCTTTTCCATCTGAGCTGCTACCAGTAGGCACCACCCACATTTAAGGTGCTGAGGCTATCTAGACAATCCCTCAGTTGAGGCTCCCTAAGTTGCAGCAAGTTGACATTGAAAACCTACCATCACACGACTTAAGAGAGGAAAGATTTATTCTGGTTTAGGGCTCAGAGGTTTTAGTCCACAATCAGTTGGCTCCATTGCCTTTAGACCTTGGATAAGACAGAAACACCGTGGTGGAAGGGTGTGGTGGAAGAACACTGACTACCTCATGGCAGCAATCGGGAGAGGGACAGGCCAGGAACAAGTTATACACCTCCTGGACATGTCCACAATGACCTGCTTGCTCTAACTGTCCCCCACATCCCAGTAATGCCATCAAATTATTAATACCTCAATGGATGAGTTCATCGGTAAGGTCAGAGCCTTCATGATTCAATTCTGTCCTCCAAATCCACCAGCTGGCAACCAAAACATGAAAATATGAGACTTCAGGGAACACTTCAGATTCAAACCATAACAGTAGTTGAAATGACAAAGATTTTCATCTATCCCAGGATCCTCTTAATTCATGTCCAGTAAGCAGCTGGCTATAAGGCTGTGTGTGTTGGGGGGGTGATGGAGGAGGATGTGGGGATTTCCCCTACAACACTGGCTTCCTCCATGCCCTCCTGCTCTTAGACCCAATTGCTGAAGGTCTCTGTGGTCTACAGCCCATGTCTCATGAGATGCACAGATGGGTGATGCATGGGGTTGGGAACATGGCTTTACATCCATCTAATAAGGAAGGCCAGCTTCTGCAGAAGGACCCTGATCCCTGTCTAGGTTCTTCCTCCATCTGTGAGAAACAATGGTCTTCATTCATAGGCGCACTGGAGACACAGAATAGCGAGAGTGAGACATTTATTTTTGGTTCTGCAGAAGCTGGGCATCAGTTTGGACAAAATGGCTGCTATGCTGATTTGGTGCAAAGCAGGGGTATTTATATTCCTAAGCACATTTCCCTGGCCTCTTTTGTTTCCCATTGGCTGAGTTATTTAGGGAGGTACAATGTTCTTGGTGTCTAGTATTGCCCCTTTCCAGATTCCCCTTTCTATTGCTCTAGGACACAAAGCCTCATCTAAAGAATATCCTGGGGCTGAGGAGTCCTCCTTTTTTTGATATGTAAGCTCAGTCATAAAGCTGCTGACTTCCTGGGACTCTTCAACCCTAGGGTGAAACGAGAGTGTCTAGACAAGCAGGCACCAGCTAGATGCACAGAGTCAGGGGCCTAGTGCCTCCTGCTTGTCTGTGATTTTCTGATGAGTTCTAAACATACCTCATACTGAAAATGGACCCTAATGATTTCTTTCTTGCACATCCTTGTTGCAAGTCCCTCACCTGCCTTGGCTACTCTGCATATTCTAGATCTATTACATCATTCCCTTCCCAGTACTAGATTCTCTACTAGCTGGACCATTCTGGGTTATGATGGATAGAAAAATTCTGTATACAACTCAAGCTGCTATGGATGTTTTTGTAGAGGTAGGGGGATCCAGGGGACTGCATTCTGGAGAGGGGGATATTGTCACAGAGACTGGGCTACCAGATACCATTCCAGGAGTGGCTAAAAGGTAAGGGGGAAGACTGAGCCCAGCAAGGCCCCTACCTTGTGAGGCAGCCTCTAGAGGGTGCTAGATCACCAGTAACACTGAAAGAAATGGGTGTTATGGCTGAGGTCCCAGTAAACAGGGATTAGGGTAGGTCTAGGAAGCATTGATATTGGGCACCAAATTTAAGACTGTGCTCCAAATTCAGCAGCCAAAATAAATCAGGCATGTGTCTGTAATCCCAGCATTCAGGAGGATGAGACAGGACCCTGCTTAAAAACAAAAAAGGTAAATTGGATTTTAATGCATTAAGGAAATTTAAATAAATGAGGAATAAAAATTGATGAGGAACATGATATTAAGAGTTTCAATGGGGCTGGAGAGATGGCTCAGCACTTATGAGCACTGGCTACTCTTGCAGAGGACCTGGGTTTGGTTCTCACCACCCACATGGTGGCTCTCAACAGTCTGTAACGCCAGTTCCAGCGGATTGGACGCCCTCTTTTAGCCTCTGTGGGCATTGTTCCACATGGGTGCACTTATATACATGTAGGCAAAACACTCATACACATAAATAAAAATAAGAGGATAATATGATGTAATCATATAGGGGCTCACATTTTCCTTTGGTCTCCGGCTTCTATGGCATTGACCTCAACCCTTGGATTCTTTGTGTACTTTGAATATATACAGCAAAGTAGGCGGTATCCTCATGAGTGGACAAACTTAAAGAAATTCTCACCCAGGGTGTCTGTGCTGTCAGACATTTATGTCATGTGAAAATAGGTGTATGGTTATGGAGAGTCAGCCATGTGAGGGAATTAGAGCAAATCACCCATAGGTTAATGCTCTATACTGGAAGTCAGAAATGTATCTCATCTGATTTTTAATCCTTTAGCACTCTCCAAAGACATCTGTTTTGGAATAATCATAAAAGAATTAGAAGAGGGAGAGGAACAAAACTCAGGAAAAAAAAATTAAGATCCCGTACAAAACAAAAACAAAAACACATTTTGTTCCCACATGTTGAAAGTGAATTTGTAGGTTACTGGACCCACAACTTTCATTAATGGACTATTTGTTTCTAATATTTACGTACTTGGCTGCCTGTGCGAACATGTGCATATGCTAAAGTAGCAGTGTGTATTGATGCTAAGATGCTGGTGCCTAGGCTGGTGGGCCCTCCTTGCTAGGGAGCCTTTGGGGACCTCTGATTTGGCATCTGTTTGAAGGAGGGCTGACTCTGCTTGACCCTAAGCTCTCTCCTCTTCTGGCCGTCCCTTCTGGCTTTTGCCTCCTCTGGATTCAATCCTTCGGTTAACAGCTCTCCGGATGACAGCACCAAGCCTGGAAAGTACGGCTTCATCTCCATTCCCTAGAGCCTGAGAGGGTTATTGGTGGGTGCAAGGATCCCTGGCCAGGAGGGTGGGTCTTCGGAAGCCTTCAAGGTGCTTATCAAAGTCCTCCTCACAGGCCTCGCTTTTTACAAGGGAGTCACCTTAGAGATAGGATGGGGATATCTGAATTGGGAATAAAGGAGGAGGGTGGAGGGGCAGGAAGAGAGACGCCTTAGGAGGAAGCCAGGCCTTAGTTTTGCGCCTCCACGCCTTGTTTTGGTACCCTAGGGAGTCTTTTCTGTGCCATCCCACCTTCTATTGAGTCTCTGTCTCTCTCCCCTCCCCAGCAAGCCGGCTTGCGTTCTGGCTCCGGTAAAGACCAGATCTTGGAATCAAGAGGCCAGGCGAGCGCTGACCCGGACCCCAGGCTCAGTGCCAGCTCAGAGCACCAGGCTCCTGGGCGACCCGACCCCAGCATCGCGCGCGGAGCTGTCCAGCACCCCGAGGCGGGGCGTGCGCCCCCGGCCCGCCCCA